GGCAGGACCTCCAGCAGCACCAGCAGCAGGACCACCGCCAGGACAGATAGCAGTAGTCTCAGCACCAACACCCTTAGAAGCTCCAGCTCCAGTAGGACCCGCACGCCCAGCAGCTCCGGGACCGGCGACACCAGCACCCTCGGTGGTCGAAGAAGCTCCAGCTCTAGCAGTACGCCTCCAGCGGCGAGCAAACCACTCGCGCAGCTCCTGTGGAGAGAGGGGCTCCCGCCGAGACGGAGCACCAGGAGAAACCCCAGGCTCAGCAGCTCTAGGCGCAGGACCCCCAGACTCAGCACCTCCAGGCTCAGCAGCTCCAGACGCAGCACCCCCAGGCTCAGCAGCTCCAGACTCAACACCCCCAGACTCAGCACCCCCTAGCTCAGCAGCTCCAGGTACAACACTCCCCGGTTCAGCACCCCCAATCTCAGCACCCTCAGCAGTAGCACCCCTAGGCTCAGCACCCCCGGGCTCAGCACCCCCGCGTACAACACCCCCAAAGTCAGCACCCCCAGGCTCAGCACCCGCAGCAGCACCAGAGTCACCAGTAACCTCGACCGGGTCAACGGCGTCTACCTAGGACACACCTGAGGGGGCAGGAACCTGAGGGGGGAGGGGGTGTACCAGGTGGGGAACCGGCACAAGAAAGTCCGGTGGTGGGGGGAGAGAAGGAGTGCGGTAGGGGAAGAGGCAGTAGAAGGGGACTGACTCGTCGAGCGTGACGTCCTGGGAGGACAGAACACGACGAGAGGAGGGGTGGTAGAACTGCCACCCACGAGCGTCAGGGGGGAAGCCAAGGAAGACACAGGGAGCAGCACGAGGGGACAGCTTGTCCGCAGACAAGTCGCGGACAAACGCCCGAGATCCCCAGACACGGAACGCAGACGCATCGCCGACCTTCCCCGTCCACAGCAGAGCTGGGGAGGTCTCCGGCCGGGAGAACCTGGGGTGAAGGTTGAGCTGATGCGCCGCGTACCGAACCGCAAACGGCCACAGAAAATGGGGGGCAGCCGCATGCATCAGGGACGTACGAGCGACATCCATGACCATGCCAATGCGGCGCTCAGCAATCCCATTTTGCTGTGGAGAGTCCGGAAGCGTAAAGGTCTGGCGGATCCCCCGTGCACGACAGTAGTCTCGCAGAAGGCGAGAGGAGAACTCCCCACCTCGGTCAGAGTGCAGACGCAGAACAGGAAAGTCCGAGCCGAAGCTCCTCCTGAGTTGGAGACGAGCCTCGCGGATCCAGTCGATCAGCACCGCAGTGACATCATCCTTGCTGCGCAAGGGGAAGACTGAGGTGTAACGCGAGTAGTCGTCAACCACCAACAGGAAGTAGCGCTCGTGACCCTGCCCACGGACGCGGGCCGGGCCCCACACGTCCATGTGAAGTGTCTGCAGAGGGGCCTCTGTCGTGGGAAACTGGGAGGAGTGAGGAGCAGCCCTGAGGCGCCCCTCGACACAGGGGACACAGGAAGGTCCTGGTCCCGAAGGAAGGGGAGGAAGAGACCGGGGAAGACCTGAGACAAGGACACCGGAAGCCATGCCCCGAAGATGGGACAGGGAGGGGTGGCCAAGACGGTGGTGCCACAGGAGAGTCTCGTGAGACAGGAGGCGACACGAACAGGGGGCAGACTCAGGGCCAGACCGGGACGCAGCAGCAAACACCTGACCTAACGCAGCTACCTGACCAGACGCAGGGACAGGAGGAGACTCAATGGTCAGGGTGTAGAGGCTCGACCCCGGCCGACGCGAGAACGTGGCCAGGTGCCGGCCTGTGCGTGCATCCGTGTAGTGGGTCACCCGCTGACTCGCAGGAGTGAACTGGTGAGCCCCCGCATTCTGTAGGTCCGCACCACTCACCAAGTCCGTCGAGAACGAGGGAAGGTACAGACCAGACAGGGTGCCCGAGGGGGCAGCCGGACACGGGAGGACAGTGGAAAAGTGAGAGAGGACAAGACCCCCAGAGGGGTCAGCCAGGGAGACCGCAACCGGCCGACCAAGCGGCGTGAGGGTGGTGCGGTCTCGAAAGAAGGAGCGAGAAGCCCCAGAGTCAAGTGTGAAAGTGAGGGAGGACGAAGGCGACACAGTACCTGAGAGCGCAGTCTCACCAGTACCTGAGAGCGCAGACGCACTTGCACCTAGAGCAGCATCCTCACAAGCACCTAGCGCAGCAGTACCAATGCCCGGGTCGGGCGGGAAACACCGGTAACAGTCACCCTCCTCACTAATAGTCACAGCATACATAGCAGCAAGGATAGCATCAAAGTCAAGATCAAAGATCGCTACACCAGCCCTAGAAAGCTCATCCCAGCGGGGAATCTCACTAGCCTCGGGGAACTGCTGACGCCAAGCGTCCGTCAGGCGGCCAAAGCAGCGCTGGGTGGAGTGGGCACCCCCACACTGCTCACCCGCGCGGTCGCCGGAACGAAGGACGTAGGTGCACGGACCAGCACCCCCACCCCTCTGACGCCGAGTGTACCACTTACGGAGCTGCTGGGGCGGAGGGATGTCCCGTGAACGCTGCTGCTGCTGCTGCTGCTGGCGCTGACCACTACCAGCGCCGCTCCGCTGCGGGGCACCACCCCGACCAGCTCCACCTCCTCCGCCAACACCTCCTCCTCCGCCGCCTCCACCGCCGCCACCACCCCCAGCGCTGCCGCCACCACCGCCGCCGCCTCCGCCGCTGCCACCACCACTACCACCGCCTCCGCCACCACTCCCGCCGCCACCCCCACTCCCTCCGCCGCCTCCACCGCCACCTCCACCGCCCCCTCCAACTCCACCCGCGCCCTTGCCCCCCTTGCCCTTGCCAGAGCGGCGTCTCCCACTAGGGGCAGACGCCGCGTCGACCGACTAAAGACCAAGCAGGTCGGCAGCAGTAGCAGAGGCAACAGAGGGCAGCAGGGGGGAAGGAGAGCACCCCTCAAAGATGGGGGTGCGAGGGTCACCACGAGAGGCGCCTACAGCGACGATGCTCTTCTCCGCCACTAGGAGGGCCTTCTCGAGGAGGTCGACAGTGAGGGTGGTGGGACAGACTGAGAGAAAGTGGTCCCTGACTACGCGAAGGGAGTCAGGGAGGCGTGCTACTACGTAGTAGAGAGTGATATACATGGGGGGGGGGTTCTTGGCGCAGAACTCAGCAGGAAGGGCGGCGCGGTAGCGAGTGTCACTAGTGCGGAGGTGCGTAATGAGGTCAGTGACAATGGGAAAGGCAGTGAGGTCAGGAAAGAGGTACGGTAGCATGAGACGGCTCAGTGCAGCAGTGGCAGGGGAAGAGTAGCGTGCAACTACAGCGTCGTACAGGGTCTGAGCACTCTTGTACTGACTAAAGTGCGCGCGCTCAGTGGTGGGTAAGTGGCGACGCACAGCAAGACGTGCAACAGCATCGCGGGTGGCCCACTGAGAGCGAACTGTGGGGTCAGCATCAGCAGCAGGAGCAGGAGAGGCGCCAGAGGTGAGGTCAAAGAGAGAAAGATCGTCTGCCCTATCGCACTGCAAAAACAACTGCAGGTCGTCGACCCAGACCTCAAAGTCGATGGCTCTGCCCTCAGCGTCAAAAGCTAGGACACTGGGGGTAGCCATGATGACAGACTAGCAGTGCAAGCAGTGGGGAAAGGGCAAGCGGTAGCAGTGCTGTGCTCACCAGGCAGGGCAGGTCGGGCGACTCGACGGCTGCAGGAGGGCACGGCCTTTGCGGGGCGGCTCGGCTGCGACTGGGCGGCTCGGCGGCTCCTGGGCGGCTCGGCTGCTGCTGGGCGGCTCGGCTGCTGCTGGGGTGCTCGGCTGCTGCTGGGCGGCTCGACTCCCGGGCGGCTTGGGTGCAGGGCGGCTCGGGCGGGGCGGCTCGGCTGCTCCGGTACCGGGTAGCGGGGCCGTGAGTGCAGGGGCGACGGGGCCGTGAGTAGGGGCGGCGGTGTCGCGGTAGTAGGGGTGGCGGGGCTGTGAGCGCTGGGGCGGCGGGGCCACGAGATCAGGGGCGGCGGGGCCGCGAGATCAGGGGCAGCGCGGCCGTGAGTGCTGGGGCGGCGGGGCCGCGAGATCAGGGGCGGCGAGGGCCGCGAGATCTGGGGCGGCGAGGGCCGCGAGAGAAGGGGCGGCGAGTGCCGCGTTCAGGGCGGCGGGGCCGCTGAAGTAGGGGCGGCGGGGCCGCGAGAGAAGAGGCGGTGGGGCCGTGAAGGGGCGGCGGGGCCGCGACGGAGAGGCGGGGCCGCGACGGAGTGGCGGGTCCGCGAGGAAGAGGCGGCGGGGCCACGACTGGGTGGCGGGGCCGCGACGGGGCGGCGGAGCCGCGACGTAGTGGCGGGGCCGCGACTAGACAGCGGGGCCGCGACTGGACGGCGGGGCCGCGACTGGACGGCGGGGCCGCGAAGGAGAGGCGAGGCCGCTCGAAGGGTGGGCGGGGCCGCTAGGAAGGGTGGCGGGGCCGCGTCTGAAGGGCGGTGGGGTCGCGAGAAGGGCAGCGGGGCCGCGAGGGAAAGGGCGACTCGGGGGGTCGCTAAAAAAAAAGGAGATCGCGCGCCTCGGGGCGCGCTTCGGTGGGCCCTAGGCGAAGTTCCCACAGGGAACCCGCTCTATACCATGTGAAAGTAATGAACAGGAAAATGAATGACTAAGGAAAGATTGGGGTACAAATACAACCCTAGAAACATGTACCCCATATGTGCTACCTATTAGAATGGACTAAGATACTAGCGGAAGCTTTAGTAGTCTTAGAACCTCCTCCTAAAGCCTAGGAATCCTAGGAGCCCACTTGGGCATGAACCATGCTAGAACCAAAGTGGTTTCCAAAAGTGAAAAATCAACAAGAGAGAACCCTAACCTTTAGGGTTTGGGAGGTGGTCCACTCTAAAGAGTGTACACCACAAGTTCTCCCAACCCAACCAATGTATTCTACACTACCATAGTGTAGATGTACCACTACATATGTTTATTGGAGCAACCCGAATTAACCTTAATTCCAACACCCCCTCTTGCTCCAATAAGCATTAAAGTTCACCCATAAATCAAAATACAACCCCTCCAGCGAATGAAGCCTTGGCCTTCGCAGCAATCACTCGCATGCCGATGCGCTCCAGGTTCTCATGCAGCTGCAAGCTTGGAAGAGCTTTGGTGAGCATGTCGGCATCCTGGAGGTGGGAGCGTACTGAGTGCACCTCGACCTCCTGCTGACGCACCGCATCCCGTACAAAGTGCCATGCCACCTTAATGTGCTTGGTGCGCTGATGGAGAACGGGATTGTGGGCAAGGGAGACAGCTGCCTCATTATCACAGAGCAATGGAATAGCCCCCCCATCCCCCACATGCATCTCTGCCAACAGACTCCTCAACCAAATGGCCTCCTTGGCCCCCTCCGATAGAGCTTTGTACTCAGCTTCAGAAACGCTTGCTGCAACACTGTCTTGCTTTTTGCTATACCAGCTGTTTGCTCCTCCTCCCAGCTTAAAGATGTAGGCGGAGCGACTCTTGCCATCAGTCTCACCACCCCAATCCGAGTCTGTGTACCCGACAACCTGCTCACCACCTTGGCGCTCATACCTGATGACACGATCAGCTGTGTCGACCAAGTACCTGAGTGCTCTCAGTGCAGCGCGCATGTGAATGCGTCTTGGTGCCACGCAGGACTGTGCAAGGGTGTTAACAGTGAAAGACATGTCAGGACGGGTGGTCACAGCAGCATACATCAAGCTGCCAATGAGACTCTGGTACACCTTGACATCAGCTGCAACACCTTCCTCAGTTGACCAAGTACCATTCCTGATCTTAGAGAGATCATTGGGTGACATTGGAGTATGCACCCTATGGGTCTCCTTCAGCAGATCACCAAACCTTCCCTGGAGACCACGGACATACTTCTCCTGACCAATCTCCAACCACCCATCCTTGACCGACCTGCGAACCTCCACACCAAGGTACATGGATACCTCACCTAGATCCTTCATCTGGTACCTCTGAGCAAGCACCTCCTTGACCTGACCGATCAGCTCCAAGCGTGGAGACACAAGCAAGAGGTCATCCACATACACCAATACATACACTGGCTCTTCATCCACAAACCTGATGTACAGAGCCTCATCACATGCACTGCGGTCAAACCCCGCTGCAATCAAGGTAATACCAATCTCCTCATTCCAAGCACGAGGCGCTTGCTTGAGCCCATAGAGAGCTTTGCGCAAGCGATGCACCCTACCTGTACCATCATCAAATCCCTCAGGTTGCCTCACATACACTTCCTCTTGAAGGAGTGCATTGAGGTGAGCATGATCAACATCCTCCTGTTGTACATGCCACCCTTTTACCGCGGCTTCTGCAAGAAGCACCCGACCTGAGGTCAGCTTGCCCACAGGGGCAAATACCTGATCATAGTCCTTCTCAAGCTCCTGAGTGTACCCCTTAGCAACAAGGCGAACCTTGTGCTGTACCACCTTATCCTCCTTGTCAGTTTTTCTGCGGAAAACGTACCGGACCCCAATGGCCTTCTTACCTGGAGGTAAGTCAACCGGCTCTGGATCCCATACACCCATAGTGCGCATTGCATTTACCTCCTTCTCAGCGCCTGCCTTCCACGCAGGGCCCTCAGGGCCACGCAGGACCTCAGCGAGTGTGCGTGGGACATCACCTGTGCTCACACCTGCCAGTGCAACACCTTCCACCTCCCTGGCCAAACATAGCATGCCCTCAACCACACCAGCATCCTCCCCTACCTCCTCACCACCTGTACTAGACTGGATACCAAGCACCTGCAAACCCGTAACCGGTGGTGGGGAGGTAGTCGCTGGTGACGGAGGGGCACCCGTAGAGAGAGGGATAGAGCGCTGACCAGAGGAGGAGGAAGAGGAAGTAGCCTGTGTAGCGGATCTCCGCTGAATGACCGAGGGGCCACTGAGCTGCTGCAGAGGGGTGGGCTGCTGCTGCACCGACACACTCAGCGGTGCCGGTGGCAGTGGTGAAAGTGGCATCTCAACGTCGTCAGCCGTTGCTAAAGGTGGCGAGAGTGGAAGAGGGAGGAGTTGGGAAATTGCAACTGCATCCTGCAGAAGCTCCCCAAATTCCTTTGCCTTGTCCCAATCCTTCCACATCACATTCTTAAGGAAATCAACATCCCAAGCAATGCGAATGCGCATGATAGAAGGGTCCAGCATGCGCCAACCCTTGCTCTCCATGTCCACCCCAACACAGACACACATGACAGCCCGTGCATCAAGCTTGCCACCCTTCTCATGCCCATGCAACATGACACTCCCCATGCAACCCCAAATCCGAGCCATGCCCACATGCGGCTTCTGGCCGGACCACGCCTCCATTGGTGTGATGGAGGCAGGCAAAGCACTGTGGGTGACCCTGTTCTTAACCCACACGACCCACATCAATGCTTCACCCCACAAGCGAGCAAGGAGACCACTGTCGACCAACAATGTGCGAATCCCCTCTGCCATCGTCCTGTGCCACCTCTCCACAACCCCATTCTGTTGCAGTGTATCTGCGACGCTCAATTGAGTTTTAATGCCAAACTCCGCCTTCCATGCTTTTACAGCTTCCCCCAAGAGCTCGCCACCCCTGTCCGAGCGAACAGCCTTCAGCTTCCGCCCACACTCCAACTCCACGTCCTTATGCCACTGGCGAAGGACTTTTGCAACTATGGCCGATTCCTTGTTGGGGAGGGGGAACGACCAAACTCGTCTGGTGAAGTCGTCAATGAGACTGAGGACATACACCGCTCCTCCCAGTGATGGTGTGCGCACCGGCCCCCACAAATCCATGTGGACCTCATCCAAAGGCCCAAGTGCCCGAGACGCCTCATGGGGAAACGGCTTCCGAGCCGACTTTCCCAATAAGCAGGGCTCACATGGGGAACAATCAGTGTTCCCCCCCCCCAATCTCCAAGCCCAGTACACTGTTCCCCCGAGCCATCTGTTGCAATGTTGTGGGGGCGGTATGACCAAGGCGGCGATGGGCAAGGGTCAATGGGGAAAATGAGGAGGACGACTTAGCTGCAAGAGCACTGCCCTGTGTGCCCTGAGCAAGAGGAAGAAACATCCGCACCAATCCATGGTCCCTTCCCCTCTCCTTTTCTCCAATCGCCAACACCCGCTCCCCCCATTGAAGGACACATCTCTTGCCTTTGAATGTGACAATGACATCTCGAGAGGTGAGGTGTGGGACTGACAGCAGACGCGTGTGCATCTCAGGCACAAGGTGGACCTTTTGAATCCTCAGCAGCTGACCTCCAGCACCAACCACTGGCACCTCACCCATGCCAACAGCTTTCACCACCCGTCCATCTCCCAATCTAACTCCCCGAACCTCTGGTGGTTGAAGCTTACTTTTGAAGTCCGATGCATAAGGAGTAAAGTTGTGGCTGGCCCCACTGTCAATCCACCACCCCTCTCGCGGCTGCTCCTCTCCCACTGCTGCAACTGCTTCTCCAACCACTGCCTCTGCCTTGTCATCCTGCTCCTCCTCATCCGCCACCTGTGCCTTGCCGTTGGACCCACGACCCCCCCGCTTTAAGAATGCCGGAATGCCTCCCTTAGGTCGATGAGGACATCGCTGCCATGCATGTCCCTCATCCCAACAGCCATGACACAACCCCCGAGGAGCCATGCCCTTGGACCCCCAAGGGAAATCAAGCACTCCCGCTTTGCCTTTCCCTTGACCCCATCTGCCCGAGTTGGTGTCACTGCTGCTACCGCTGTCTCCATGCTTTCCTCCCTTGACCCAATTTCCCCTGCCGCTGCTGCCCACTTTCGTACCCGCTCCAAATGTGGCTACACCATCCGATCTTGGTGCGACACCAATCCGCATCTCCTCGCTCCTCAAGGAGGTAAGCAGCTGATCCTTAGTGAGCGATGATGACTGGTTGTTCAACACCACCTTCAGCATCTCAAAGTGAGGAGGTAGTCCTTTGAGTACCCTCATCATCCACTCCTCAACCTCCTCCTTTCCTCCTACAGCCAAGTACTTGGACCTCAAGTCCTCGGCACGCGCCCAGTATGCAGCCACCCCCTCCCCCTCTTTCATCTTCAATGAAGAGAGCTCCTCAAAGAGTGCCATCCGGTTACACAATCCACGCTGAAGGTAGAACTCCTTCACTCGTATGTATGCCGCTGCTGTGCCTGCAGGAATTCGGGTGACCGTTCTTGCTCCGCCATCAACAGGTGCGCTGCCCAACTCGGTCTTGCCGCCGAACTCCGTACCAAGCGAATTAGCTCATCTGGCACCAAGGCATTGCAGAATTGAGCGAATGCCTTCTGATTTTTTCTCTCCCACTTCAGCCGTGCGTCACCCGATGCAGGCCGCTCCTCCGAACCATCAAAGTACCCCCATAGATCGTGTGCCTCTGCCCATTGTTCGAATCGGAAGCTCCAAGTCCAATAGTCGCTCCCGTCGAACTTTGGCGCACTCTCCAGCTTCCCTTCACCTGAGTCATGATCCATTTGCGGCAGACACTCTGGAGATTGACGTTGAGGTGGTGGTGGAGGCAACGGCGGCGGTGGTGGATACGATGTGGACAGATTTGCCCCCTCTTGGTTTTTGGAGCGTAACTCCGCGCTCGAACCTCCGAATGATGAGCCGTTTGTCTCAGATGAATCTTTGCTCCAAGACCGTTCCGATGATGTATCGCGCTCTTGAATCCCGCTTCCAAGCTGGCCGCCTTAAACTCGTCGAAGTTGGCCGATTTCCCGTCGACGAAGACTCAACCGTTTCTCCCGATTTTTTGCTTGTTGGATGCGCCCTGGCCTCCTCTATCGGCGTCTGGCCTCCAATCTTTTTTCCGTGCTTTAAATCTTCCCCGATTTGCGATTTTCCAATTCGTCCGCCGGCAGTTTTTCGCGAATTGCGTCCGATCCCGTCGTCGATTGGTAACGACCTTGGGGCAATTGTTGTAGAGCGTGCTGAGACCTTTCCAACGGTATGCTGCACGTCTTGATCGGTCAAAGTTGACTGAGCGCCTCCGTGGATGGATGCCGCTCTTCTCGTCCTCCCAAACGGATCCACACGATTTCCAGCTGTTTTCTTCTCTCCTCCTCCCCTCCCACGTCCAGAGTTCGCCACGGTGCAATTTCGGCAGCCCTTCGGGAGGAATGGAAGCTAACTAGCTTCCACCAAGATCTTATGGTCCAATGTCTTGAGTAACTTCATTCCAACAGATTGCTAGTCCTTCCTTGCTCTGATACCATATTAGAATGGACTAAGATACTAGCGGAAGCTTTAGTAGTCTTAGAACCTCCTCCTAAAGCCTAGGAATCCTAGGAGCCCACTTGGGCATGAACCATGCTAGAACCAAAGTGGTTTCCAAAAGTGAAAAATCAACAAGAGAGAACCCTAACCTATAGGGTTTGGGAGGTGGTCCACTCTAAAGAGTGTACACCACAAGTTCTCCCAACCCAACCAATGTATTCTATCTTAGAATCCCAACCACTAGACCATTGGGATTAAAGGGCTTGTTTCAGTAGCGGGTCAGTGCGCCCATAACCCCCCAGGCAAATGTGCCTGTAACCCTTCCCTAGGATCGATCGGGGATCACCAGTGGACCTCTGACACCCCCCCGCACTGGGATGCCCGAAGTGCATACACCGAGATTCGAACCCGAGACCTTCGCTCTGGATACCATCTTAGAATCCCAACCACTAGACCATTGGGATTAAAGGGCTTGTTTCAGTAGCGGGTCAGTGCGCCCATAACCCCCCAGGCAAATGTGCCTGTAACCCTTCCCTAGGATCGATCGGGGATCACCAGTGGACCTCTGACATTCTACACTACCATACTGTAGATGTACCACTACATATGTTTATTGGAGCAACCCGAATTAACCTTAATTCGAACACTACCCCACTATAGCCTACAGCAACCATGTCATATAAATCTGACAAGCTTGTGCGGGGTGGGTGTTATGATAGACCTCGTTTCTACTATACCCCCCATTTTTGGCTGATTTTCTATAACACCCCATTTTTCTTACATATTCATTATTATAGTCGTTAACGAGTAGCTGCAATACGGAAGAATATCGTGTGAATTCCTCCGTCAAGGAAATTTCGCGGTACATCCAAAGGCAATCTGCCGAGATTTGCCCCCTCCCACTATTTCTCTGTTGCCACGTGCAGGTGAATCTTCCGTTGCAAGTGGCAAGAGAGGTGCCAGATGGCATTTTCGTGAGGGCGATGAAGTTCGAGGCCGAAACTCACATTCGCGTCTCAGGCAGTGATGCTAAAAGGACCAGCAAAACACCCACATTGACTAATTAAAAAAACACTAACACTAAAATATGCCATATGTAAAGACACGGGTATTATGCATTTTTTTCCTATGAGACCCCCCCCATTTCTTCCCTGTATTTTTAGCTATACCCTAGGGTGTTATGTCCGGGAGAATACGGTAACCTAGATAGATAGAGCTTCAGTTGCTTCTAGTCACAATACTTACTTACAAGGTAACACGGACACAACACTTAGTAATCAACATGATAATGCCATTAGTAAGACCGAACTTCTACATCTCAGCGACCCACCACACTAGATCTTGTTGTGAAGCCAACAGAGGCGATGAGATGTCACATTGCATATGGTGAACGGCTGAGAGCCTGAGAGCTGTATATACACTCCACCCTTGTCGCAGCAGCAATATAGAGAACGCAGCCTCTGTCTCCAGCCTCCGTCCCCCTCTTCGATTGAGCGGGCCACCATTCCTTGAGCAGGATTGTTTGGAACATCAGCAGCAAACTGTGTCCTTCGCCAACCGACGAGCTGTTTCCGCCAGAACATTAGGCAGAACAAATGCAACATGCGGATCTCTTGTCGTCGCATCATGCCATGCGGAACTACAGTTATCAACACCCCCGAGTCCCTGAGTCGCAGCCAGGCCCATCGGAACCCAGACAGCTGAGCAAGGCCGTCCGCCTGTCGTTGTCGCGGAGCCAGACTCCTTGCAATAATTACAATCGAACGTTGCCCACGGTTCAAGAAACAACAGCCTGGCAAGTACCCTCCTCCCGTCCCTGCGCTTCTAGAACACACGACGCTCCAGCACGATGGGTGGAACGGCCTTGTTCCTGCGCGACGAGCCGCATTTCGGGCACTGTAGCGGAGAAAAGAGAGGGCGAACACAAAAGGAACCGCGTTTCATAAGTAGGAAACAGATCAGAAAGACGTCGAGCGAACAGTGAATCAAGACACATCATTGTCCCGTACGGCACCCGTGTGCTCCCTGAACATTCTGCCCAATCGGCGACATAATCTGTCCGCGGAAAAGTACCTTGGAGCACCCCTCCCCAACACACGCGGGGCACGGGTCCTTGCGGTCGTACTTGCCCTCCCAGCGGATAGCTCCCGTTCCGCCGCACAGGGTGCAGCAGCACAGCCCGTACCCGCCGCACTCGTCGCACACCTCGCCCTCGCCCTCGCCGTCCTCTAGCTGGTGCCGGTGGTCGTGCGACTTTATCATCGTCACGATGCCTGCGACAGCCAGTGCGACGGCCATGACGACGCCACCCTTGCCTGCAGGATCGTCGCACGCCGCACGCAAAGAACCGAATAAGTTAAGTCGGAGGAAAAACACATTACAGTGGGAAAACCAATCTGAAAGTGGAAGCACCATACGGAGGGGAAATCAGAACGCACTCCGGAGCAGGGTCGGCGGACGGAGACGAGCAGCAGTCATGGCGGACGCTCCCACGGAGGCGACGGTTCGAGTTGCGGAGCGCGATAGCAGCGCTTGCGATAGCGACGCCGGCGCTGCGAAACCGCCAACATCCGACAACGCGGCGACGCTGGCACCGCGCACAGCCTCTGTAAACAAGCAGAGAGCAGACGAAGCAGCGATCAGATCACGAAGCGGACGGAAGGATGTCAGCGACAGGCATGGATCGAAGGTCGCGAACTGGTCGTTGAAAGAAGAGAGATTTTACGATCGGAACAAAAAAACTCAGCCAGTACTGATGCGTCTAAGAGTCTGCATGGTCAGGCAAGTTTTGCCCGTGCCTCACCTGCTGCCTCCGACTCGACTGGCGTGGCTAGCTGAGCCCGAGGCTGGCTCTCCACCTGGCGCAGCTGGTTCGCAGCCACGTGGTGTTCAATGTGATGCTCATGGCCAGCTTCGTCGCTAAACGCCGCGCAGGTCACGCACGGGCCCCGCGAGTTGCTGTTAACGTTTTCATGGTGACGCTTATTTGCCAAGAAGGCGAGGTCCGAGAGGCTACGGCGAGACGACGCACGAAATGAGTGGCCTGATCCCAGAGACCCGTAGTTACTGCTGCTGCTGCTGCCGGTGGAATTGACGCTGACGCTGGCGGTGGCTGCAGTAAAGCTGCGTCGCCTGTGACTAAAGCCGGGACTACCGTTGCGAGTGCCGCACCTGCATGCCGTGTTCCTAGTGCTGCATGAAGATATGGGACAGTTGAAGGGAGTGAGGACATGGATGGAGAGTGGAAGGGAGTCCAGAGAAAAGGGCCAGAATGAGTGGGGTTAGTTCTTCTATAAGGGGGGATCGGAGGCGTGAAAGATCGGTTGCTACGTACAAATGATAAGCAAGACGGATGACTAGACGAAATAAGAGAAGCAGAGGATCGAAGCAGCTGACTCATACCTATCAACGCGGAACGCAGA